CTGGGTGCCTCCAACTTCCTGAAAATGCCATCCATCACATCCCCTTGCTCGTGTAACCTCCTCATTGCCTGTAACTGCCCATCTAGCTGATCCATGTGGTTTGTTAGGATTCCCACCAAACATACTTCCTGCAGACATCATTGCCAGAAACATTCAAATTCTTCCTGATCTCCCACGTCTGACAGGAAGACTACATCACACTAAAAATTATTTCCACTTTTTAACAATCTACAGACCAGAAATTACCTAAAAGCAGATAACATACTTTGTTCAAAATGCAGCGTTAGCACAGTCTTACTGCTCAAAAAACACTGCTCTATAACAATCCTTAATAATAAAAATCAGCCAAGAGACAAATCACAGTACAAACTTAAAAAATGCCATCACTTTACTCACTACAAGAGAAACAGTGGTAATTTATGCTGAAGACAGGGGTTAGGGGTGGGGTTAAAGGATTAAATGATAGGTGGAGCCCAAGAGACAGAAAGACGGTTTGGCAGATGGATAATGGTAAATCAGGAGCATAAATAGGTGAAATGGGTTAGCTGCGCTGAAAGCAGCCCTTGTGATTACAGAGCCTGGGGTGAAGGGGTGGGCAAAGGACATGGAAGGTGGTGTTCAGGCCCTAAAATTATTGAATTCAATATTAAGTCCTGAAGGCTGCAGGGTCCCCAAGTGGAAAACAAGATGTTGTTCTTCCAGCTTGTTTTGAGCCTCACTAGGGAACTGCTGCAGGCCCGAGACAGAAATGTTGGCTAGGGAACACGGTAGTATGTTGAAGTGGCAGGTAACTGGAGGCTCAGGGTCATTTTGCAGACAGAATATAGAAATACTGCACCAGTCTGTGTTTCATTTCCCCAGTGCAGAGGAGACTACATGGTGAGCAGCAAGTACTGTAGACTAGATTGAGTGATGTGTAGATAAATCACTACTTAACCTGGATGGTGTGTCTGGAGCCTTGGGTAATGAGAGGGGAGGAAGTAAACGGGCAGCCATTACACCTTCTGCGATTGCATGGGAAGGTGCCATGGGGTGTTGGGAGTGGAGGAGGATTGGATTAGGGTGTCCCAGAGGAAACGGTCCTTGTGCATTGTTGACAAGGGAGAGGAATGTGTGTCTAGTTGTGGCACCCCGCTGAAGGTGCCAGAAATGTAAGCTTACCATCCTTTGGGTGCAGACACTGGTGAGGTGAAAAGTGAGGACCAGGGCACTCTATCAGTTTTGTGGGAGGGAAGGGGAAGGGGTGAGGGCAGAAGTGCAGAAAATGTGTCGGACACAGTTGAGGGACCTGTCTGATGGCAGTAATTCTTGATTGAGGAGAAAGGTGAATATTTCTGAGGCCCCGCCTCAGTAGGTTGAAACATCAAAACAGATGCAATGGATGCAGAAAAACTGGAATCTTTACAGGAAGCAGGGTGTGAGAATGTATAATCCAGGTAACTGTGGGAGTCAGTGGTTTGTAATGGAATATTAGTGGCCAGCCCCAGAAATGGAAACAGAGATGTTGAAGAAGGGAAGGGAGGAGGTAGGTCAGGTGAAATTGAGAGAAGGATGGAAATTGACAAATTTCTCCAATTCCAGATGAGAGAGGGGGAAGCAGTACTGACGATGTCATTGATGTACCAGAGAAAGAGTTGTGAGGAAGGACCCGACTAGGACTGGAGCAATGAATGTTCTATGTACTCAACAAACAAGCATCACTGGGGGCCATGTGGGTACCTGTGGCCAAAATACCTTTGATATCAACGATGCTTCCGACAAGTCCCACATGGGAGACTGATAAGAAAGGTGAGAGCCCATGGGATCCAGGAAATTTGACAAATTGGATCCACAGTGGACTGAGTGACAGGAAGCAGAGGGCGACAGTTAAGGGGTGTTTTACCGACTGGAAGTATGTGTTCAGTGAGGTCGCACAGGATCAGTTATGGCAGCCTTATGGTTTGTGGGGCAGCACGGTGGCTTAGTGGTTAGCATTGCTGCCTCACAGTACCAGGGACCTGGGTTTGATTCTACCCCCAAGCAACTGTCTATGTGGAGTTTGCACATTATCCCCGTGTCTGCGTGAGTTTCCTCCAGGTACTCCGGTTTCCTCCCACAGTCCAAAGATGTACAGGTTACGTGAATTGGCCATGTTAAATTGCCCATAATGTCCAGGGAAATGTAGGTTACGTGGGTTAGCCATGGGTTGTGCATGGTCAAAGGGATAAGTTGGGGGCGGTGGGTCTGGGAGGGATATTCTTCACAGGGTCGGTGTGGACTCGATGGGATGAATGGTCTTGTATCCATACTGAAGAGATTCTATGATCTATGATATAAATGATTTAAATGATTTAAATTTGAACATAGGCGGTATTGATCAGTAAATTCGCAGGTGATACAAAAATTGACAGGATGGTAAATAGTGAGGAGGATAGCCTTAGATTACAGGAAGGTATAGACGGGCTGGTCAGATGGGCTGATCAGCAGCAAATGGGACTCAATCCAGATAAGCCTTAGGTGATGCACTTGGGAGGACGAACTAGGCATGGGAATACATGATGAGCAGTAGGAAGCACTGAGGATCAGAGGGCCTTTGGTGTGCATATACACTGGTCCCTTAAGGATAGCTGGATAAAGTGGTTAAGGTGGTGTGTAGTCTACTTAGATAGCAAGGTGTAGAGCTGGATGAACACAGCAGGCATGCAGCATCAGAGGAGCAGGAAGGCTGACGTTTCAGGCCTAAACCCTTTTAAGAGAAGGGAGGTGATTCTGGAACTGCATAAAATATTGGTTAGGCCAGAGCTAGAATACTGTGTCAGTTCTGGAACCTACGTAACTATAGGGATGTGATAGCACTGGAAAAGGTACAGGAGGGATTTACCAGGATATAGCCAGGGATGGAGACTTTCAATTATGAGAACAGACTGGACCAACTGGGGTTGTTTTCCCAAGAGCAAGAGGAGATTGAGAGGGGAATGTGATTGAGATGTATAAAATTATGGGATGATGTGGAGGTGCTGGTGTCTGACTGGGGTGGACAAGGTCAGATGTCAGATAATACCAGGTTGTAGTCCAACAGGTTTATTTGAAATCACAAGCTTTTGGAGTGCTGCCTCTTTGTCAAGTGAGACACACACACACAGGCACAGAATTTATAGGCAGAGATATCAATGGGCAGAGAGATCAAAAGATCATACAAATGGTGCGCGTGGAGTGTCAACAGGCTGAATAATAGATCTCTGCAAGTGATCAACAGTGCCAGACGGTGCGAGTAAAGTGTGAAAGCTGAATAACTAGCGAAGGGATGATTTATAATCCAATTAAATGAGGCAGATAAATAATTACAAAAAATTAAAAATAAGGTGGTGCTGGAGACAAACCAAATGACTGGAATAACATAATAGATATTAGAGTCACATCTGCAATCTGGGCATATATACAACCTGCAGTGTATACATTTTGGGTTGTGTATGTACTCCGTGAGATTTATATACTCTAAGCTGTCTACATAATCTGAGGGGAGGGGGTGTTATATAGATCTCAAATTGTATATACAATTTCCAGGCATATACACTCTCTGGGGTACATATGCTCAAAGGGTATGTACACAATCTGGGGTTGTATCCACAATCTCAAGGCGTGTATACAATATGAAGGCATAACCAAAAACTGAGGGGTATATATATACTCTGGGAGATTTTATACACCCTGGGCATCAGGTCACAACCTGGGGATGTGTACAAAGAACAATGAACAAAGAAAATTACAGCACAGGAACAGGCCCTTCGGCCTTCCAAGCCTGCGCCGATCCAGATCCTCTATCTAAACCTGTCACCTATTTTCCAAGGATCTGTATCCCTCTGCTCCCTGCCCATTCATGTATCTGTCTAGATACATCTTAAATGACGCTATCGTGCCCGCCTCTACCACCTCCGCTGGCAACGCCTTCCAGGCACCCACCACCCTCTGCGTAAAGAACTTTCCATACATATCTCCCTTAAACTTTTCCCCTCTCACCTTGAAATCGTGACCCCTCAGAGGTTGTTTGCACAAACTAAACTCTGGGGGTAAGTACACACTCTGGGTCATATTTGCACTCTGGGGGTGTATACACAATCTGGGAAGGAACATAACTCAGGAGTGTATGTACACTTCGGGATTGTATCGACCGTCTGGGAGGTTACATATGCTCTGAAAGTGTATCTCCAGTCTACAGCTATATGTACAATCTAGGGTGTGTACACACAATCTGGTGCTGTATCCACAATCTAGTGGGTATACATACTGTTGAGATGCACCCACAATCTGGGGTTGTACAAGAGATATATACACAATTCGAGATTAAATCCACAATCTGGGACTGTGTTCACACTCTGAGGGTGAGATACACATTCTGGGTTATGTAAAAATCTAAGGGTTATGTACTTTCTGGGGCTGTGTACACACTCTGGGGGCGATATGCACTCTGGGGTATGTACACACTCTGGGGGCGTACAAACTGTGGGATATTTATACTGGAGGGTTATGTACACACTGGAGCTGTGTACACAACTGGGAGTTATACCCACTCTGCTTGTGCTCTCTCTCCATGGATGCTGTCGGACCTGCTGTAATTTCCGACATTTGTTGTCTTCAGCGAAGATTCCAGCATCTGCAGTAATTTGCTCGTGTTGAATCCACACACTCTGAGCGTTATATACACTGGAGAACGTACCCATTCTGGGGCTTGTACCCATTTTGTGGTATGCACACACTCTGGCGGTTATTTACACTCTGGGATATTTACAATGGCGATTATATACATAGTGGAGCTATGTACATAATCTCAGGGTGAAATGCAATCCGGAGCACGTACACGCTCTGGAGAACATACCCACTCCGGGGTCGAGGGGAACGTGACCAGCCGTGGCACAGATTCTCAGTTTGTGGAAACGCCGTTAACTTTGGGAAAACTTGATGAGTTTGTGGCGGTGGCAGCGCCCCCAGTCCCTGAGTCGGTACGATGAAGCGCTAACACTCACCTCCCCAGGGCCCAGCGACATTCGGATAGCGCTTTAACGAGCGACTTAACACTCCAGGCCGGGGACAGGAACAGTCACTGCCGCCGCCGTGTCCCAGTCTCTTGGATCTCAGCTCCTCTTCCCACTCGCCCTTCGATCCCGAGCATCCAGCCGCAGCCACGTAGTCAGACGACAGCGCAGACGTCCGGCCAGCAGCGTGCACGGGCACGCGGCAACTCCCGAGGCAGCGTGCGCGAGCGCGAGCATCAGCGCGAGGACGCTGAAGGGGCGGGACATGCGCAGTACCGTCCCGCCTCTTTCCGCTCTGGTCCCGCCCAGGTGGCTGGGCCCGCGCGGATGCTTATCATTTAATCGCCCGCGCACGTGCGGCAACTGTCAACATTTCACCCTCACACCCCAGACCCTGCCTAAACCCCATACCACCATCCTCACCCCCAGACCCTGAGTAAACCCCATATCACCATCCTCACCCCCAGACCCTGACTAAATCCCATACCACCACCCTCACCCCCAGACCCTGCCTAAACCCCATACCACCACCCTCACCCCCAGACTCTGCCTAAACCCCCTACCACTACCCTCACCCCCAGACCCCGACTAAACCCTATCACCCCACCATCCCCGACTCCAGACCCTGACTAAACCCCATCCACCTGCACTCTTAGGCACTGAATAGACCCCATCTGCCACCCTATCCCCAAGACCCTGACTAAACACTCCTTTACCCACTAATCCCACAACCCCTGACCCCAACTAAACCTTATATACCCAATCCCAGACTCCACTACCACTCCTAGACTCCACCCCTGCACCCCCAGTCCCTTCAAACATCCACTCACAACTAGAGTACCCCACTCAGAGATTGCACCCACAGCTGCACCCCCCATTTCAGAGACACCCTTCCCAAACAGCCCAATCCATAGCACCCACCCCCTCACACCGTATGAGTCTCACACGTGCTTTCTAGAGATTGCTACCCAACTCAGAAGTATACAAACAGGGTCCCTCACACCCAGGGACTTTGCCTATGCTGCATCAACTCAGCATGATGGGTGGGAATGGGTTGGTGGTGGTGGTGGGTGTGAACGATTGGTAGAATGGGAAGGATTGATGGTGAGAGAGGCTGGTAGGGGGGATGGAAGAATAGATGGTGCGGGGGCAGGGTTTGTCATGGTGTAGCGGATAAAGGGTTGGTGGGGAGGGAAGGGTTGATGTTGAGAGGTGGAGAGTTGGTGGTGGGGTGGGAAGGGTTGCTAGTGGGGGGGCAGGGTTGGTGGTTGGGGTGTAAGGATTGATGGTGGGTGTGTAAGGGTTGATCGGTTTGTGGTAGGGAGGAGGTGGAGGTTGGTGGTGAAGGTGGGGGAAAGGTTGGTGGAGGATGGAGAGATGGTTTATTGGTTAGAGGGGATTAAGAGTTGATGGGGCGATGGGCGTAGAGTTGGTAGTGAGGGGAAAAGGTTGGTGGTGATGGTGGCAGCCTTTATCCATTACCTGTGAGTGCTGTGCAGGGGGATAGCGAGGAGGGAGTGGTGTGTAGGTGGTGACAGAGGAGGAGTGGAAGTAGGCTTTTTGGTCTGCTTGGCGGTGTCAGAGGTAGGCGGAGAAGGAGCAGGTCAGGGAATATAGGGAGATGGAAAAGAAGAGTGTAGGCAATGAGAAGAAGTGAGAAAGAGTGGTTGGGTGGGAAGGAGTGTGTAAGGAGGAAAGGGTGCAAGTAAGGTGTAGGAAGATAAGGGAGACAGGGAGGAGGGGAGGAAGGTAGGTGGTTGGAACATTGAAGGAGGCAGAGTGTGGTGTGAACAGAGGAGCAGGGAAGAAAGCTGGAAGGGAACAGAGCAGTGGGGTGAAAAGGGTTTAAGATAATGTTGTCAGGTCACATCTGTATCCCATGTACTATTTTGTTATTTTTTCATGGGACATAGGTGTTGCTAGCTAGGCCAGCATTTATGGGTCATTCCAAATAGGTGGTGGTGAGCTGCCTTTTGAATGGCTGCAGTCATGAGATGTGAGCAGATCTACAATGCTGATAGGGAGGAAGTTCCAGGATTTTGATCCGGTGACACCAATGGAAGGGTGATATATTTCCAAGTCAGGATGGTGAGTGATTTGGAGGGGGCCTCGAAAATTGTGCTCTTATTCTTCCACTACCTTTCTCCTGTTCAGTGAGAAGAGGCCATGCCTTTGGAAGATGCATTTGAAGAAACCTTGGTGAGTTACTGCAGTTCATTTTATAGATAGGAGTGAATTTTTGTGGATATGATGCTAGTCAAATAGGTTGCTTTGCTCTGGATGTTGTCAAGCTTCTTGAGTGTTGTTGGAGCTGCACTCATCCAGTTAAGTGGAGAGTATTCTGTCACACTCTTGACTTGTGCCTTGTAGATAGTAGACAGGCTTTGAGGTGTCAGGAGGTGAATTACTTGCAGTATTTCTAGCCTCTGACCTTCTCTTGTAGCCATAGTATTTCATACGGTGAAGCAAATTACTGCAGGTGCTGGAATCTGCACTGAAAACAACAAATGCTGGAGATCATAGCAGGTCAGACAGCATCCATGGAGAGAAAGTAAGCTAATGTTTCGAGTCCAGATGCCTCTAGAGGAGCAGGGGAGAGAGCTAGAAAGGAACAGAGGAGTTGGAGGAAGATGGTTTAAGATAATGTGTTCTGGTCACATCTATTTTGTTATTCTTTCATGGGATGTGGATGTCACTGACTAGGCCCCAGCATTTATTTGTCAACTCGAGTAGCCCTGGAGAAAGTGGTGGTGAGCTGCCTTTTTGAATGGCTGCAGTCATGAAATGTGAGCAGATCCACAATGCTGTTAGGGAGGAAGTTCCAGCTCCCGACCCAAAACGTCAGCTTTCCTGCTCCTCTGATGCTGCCTGGCCTGATGTGTTCTTCCAGCTCCAGACTGTGTTATAGAAACAGTATTTGTTGTTTTCAGTATTTTTATGACAGTCCAGTTGAGCTTTTGGTCAATGGTAACCCACCAGGATGTTATTAGTGAGGAATTCAGCAGTGATAATGCCATTGAATATCAAGGAATGGTGGCTAGATTGTCACTTGTTGGAGATGGTCATTTGCCTGGCACTTTTTCCTTACCAGTTGTTAGCCCAAACTTGGGTATTATCCATATCTTGCTGCATTTGGATATGACCTGCTTAAATATCCAAGGAGTTGTGAATGGTGCTGAACACTGTGCAATCATTAGCAAACATTCCCATTCTGACTTTATGATGGAGGGAAGGTCATTGATGAAGCGGCTGAAAATGTCTAGGGCAAGGACACTGCAGAGATGATTGACCTCCAAAAACCACAACCATCTTGCTTTGAGCAGGATCTGACTCCAACTAGGGAGTCTTCTCCCCAACTCACATTGACTCCAGTTTTGCTTGCTCCTTAATGCCACACTTGGTCAAATGCAAGGCTGTTGATATGACAAGTAACATAAATTTTGAATATCTCCTGGGCTGGAGCACCAATGGTCAGGAGATCCATTCCTGATCCTGGAGATTCCCAGATAATCTGAAGTGGCCCTTCATAGGGCCAGTTATGGATGTGAAGTTGTTGGCCTTGTGGTGAAACATTCCATGAAGGAATAGAATTTCAAAAAAAGCTTTTGCATCTGAAATAACTCGACAGAGGCCAGTATCTGTCACTAAGTCACCCTTTATTTACCCATAAACAGTCCTTAACTTTAGTCCTGCCTCATTCAGAGCCAGCTTTCAGAGTGACAGGATGTCTGATGCTCCTGTTTATATGTGTAAGCCAGGATTCCCTGATTGGAACAGATTAACTGCCACAATCGGGGGACTCATATTCTATGATGTCCAGCTAAGGTCCTGCTGATGCTCCAAGGTGGGCTTCCCCCAAGAGGGCTTGCTCTCCCCAGCACTGGGCATGCTTTCGTCCACGCTGAACTAAGACCTGCCAGTGCTCGCCAACCGTCTTCACTGCTGACCGCCGCTGCTGAACCCCATTGGGCATGCCAGGCTTTGGCCCCAAATACTACTTTGCAACTGCCTGCCGCTGCCGCTGCCGCTGCCGCCATCGCAATCTCTCGTGACCAACTGCCACTGCTGTCATCTTCAGCCACTTTGCTGCTGTCATCTTGCTCTGGGCCCTATCTGCTACCATGCTCCATTGCCACATTTGCCACCTCGCTGCAGAGTCCCACTCTGGAACCACTCCAGACATTGATGAAGCCACGATGCTGCTGACCACGTAGAAAAAGAAGAGAAAAAAGAGAGAGGTAACGGTCCAGATTTTCTATACATAGCTAAGGTGTGATAGGAACCTAAGCAAGTCCTGCTTAAGCATCATCAGCTGGTAACAGAAGAATCTTCATTGTCAGGGTTTGAGGAGGGAATGGTCTTAGGGAGGGAGGCTGAACGCGAGCCAGATGAGAGGGTTTAATGCTGTCAGGGAGGGGAGGATGTGCAGGCAGGGTGGTGGCAAGGGTGATAGCTGGGAATGTGGAATTCAAAACACAGTCAGATCAGCCATGAATGCTGAATGGTTGTGCAGGCTTGAGGGACTGAATGGTCTATCTGCTTCTATTTTTAGTTTTGTGAAACAAACAAGTTGGTTTATGAGACAAAAAATACTGTGCGGTCCTTGACCAAGTTGCAAGTTCTTGTATCCACTCTGCCTATCGTTTATTGATGTTCCCTCTTTGAAATATGCTTTTAGCAAGTCAGTAAATGATGTATAAATACATTTAATAAATATTAGTAAATGAGATTCTGAACTTTCTATTAACTCATACTGTGGAGAATTGTTTGTAGTTTTTTTTTACTAAAAATCGGTTTTAAATTTAATTTATAAATTATTTGAACAAAATACTCAAATTTATTGTCACCAGCAGCATTAAAACAATGTGCCTGGCATTAATAATGCAATCATTGTCCAGTGGATAACCTGGACTGTCAGAGTATCCCTGCACAAAGCCTTAATATACTAGGAAAAACAGTATTTAAATACATTCATTTAAGTTATCTGTTGTTATGGTCTGATTTATTATAGATTGTGGCAAGTTTATGCTTGGTCTGTGTGTGGGCCAGTTTTGCTCCCTCTGTAAATGTAGCTGTTACATCCATTGAGAATACAGCCACCTTGCCACCAGCGTTGAGAAAAGTTGTGTCTGTGCTGATGGCCACAGTCTGGCTGGAATGCACAGGTATAGCTGTTCCTATTGCAATTCTAGTTTATTGGAGTTACAGTGAAAAGTTAATGATGCATCA